ATATGTTCCCTCTCTGTCAAATAAATATATAAAATTAAAAAAAAAAAATGAACCTCAACCTAAACCTCACACTTTATACAAAAATGAACTCAAAATGTATCATAGATCTAAATGTAAAACATAAAACTTGCAGAAGAAACCTTTAGAGAGAGTCATCATGACCTGGGGTATGGCAAAGAGTTCTCACACATGACACCAAAAACATGATTCATAAATGAAAAAAAGTGATAAACTGGACTTGATCAAAATTTAAAATTTTACAAAAGATACTAGTAAGAGCATAAAAAGATAAGTTACAGACTAGAAGAAAACATTTGCAAATCACAGACCGACAAAGGCCTTGTATCTAGAATACATAAAGAACCCTCAAAGCCCAATAGTAAGAAAACAACCTAATTGTAAAATGAACCGAAGGCTTGTACAGGTGTTTCACCAAAGTAGATAAATGCATGGCAGATAAGCTCATGAAAAAATTGTTAATATCATTAGTCATTAGGGGAAATGCCATTTAAAACCACAATTAGATACCTATTAGAATACTTAGAAAATACTGATGATACCAAGTTCTGGTGAGAATGCAGAACAAATGGAATGCTCATACATTCTCGTGGAAATGCAAAATGGTCCAGCCATTGTGGAAAACAGTTGGGCAGTTACTCATAAAGTTAAAAATATGCTTATCATATGACCTAGCAATGCCACTCCTCAGTATTTATTCTAAGGAAATAAAAACTTCTGTTCACATAGATGTTTATAGCAGCTCTCGTCATAATTACCCCAAACTGGCAGCAACCTAAATGTCCTTCAGTGACTGAATGAACAAAGTGTAGTAGGATGGAATACTACTCAGCAATTAAAACGAGTGAATTATTGACATATGCACATCTTGGATGAGTCTCAAAGGCATGCCGAATAGAAGAAGCCAGTCTCAAAAGGTTACATGCTGCATGATTTAATTGCTACGTCATTCCCATAAAGACAAACCTACAGTGATGGAGAACAGATCCGTGGCTGCCAGGGGTTGAGGAGGTAATTACAAAGGAGTCGCACAAGGTAGTTTTTAAGGAGAATGAAACTGTTAATGTATCTTGATTGTGGTGGTGGTTATATGAATCCATTGTATCAGAATTCAGAGAACTGTAAACACACACACACACATATGCACACCCTGTCAATTTTACCATATGTTAATTTAAAATAAAACTCAAATAGGATATACTGTTGTTATAATATTTGAAAACAATTTGTATCAGGATAAGTTCAAGATTCAGAGGCATCCACTAAGATTCAATGACATGTAATATTCCTTTCTATCCTGAGAGAATGTGATTCCTTGAAATTATATCCTCCTAAAAATATATCTAGATCTTCCCTAATCATTTCTATAACACTGGAGGAGGTGTCTTTATCAAGGGAAAAATGCATGTGTCTTATCTTTCTTAATATTGGTTTGTTACTTCAGTGAGAGAGATGTGTTCCAAGCTTAACACACCACTCAGTACATCAACAGTCAATGAAATTAACAGTAAACTGTACCATGTAGAAGAGGTATGGAATTTCCTACTCTTGAATTTACTTCCTAGAGAATGAGATTTTAAAATCTTCTTTAAAAAAAAGAAGTAAATTTTTTTCTGTTAATAAAAGTACCAAATGAACACGTAGGTATAGCTAAATCTATGTCCTTACTTCTGCACTCTTCCTCTTCAGCTCTCAATTAAAACATGATTCATGAGAATCTATGTGAGTGTTTTCAAAATTTGTCAGTGATCTCTCACTAACTGGGGGTGGTGATAGGTACATTCCTGAAAAGTGCCTTGTTAGCTAAAACCTGGCAAGTTCAAGGTTTCACAGAAAGTAGGGAATTTACAAGAGAATAAAACAATAATATTGATAATAAAGCAGAAAAGACTATTTTCCTTCAGTTGCTCATGAGCTCATATCCTGAAAGCCATGATCTGCTATGGAAGATGGGGTTTATTTTATATTAACCACACTTCTTTTTGAAAAAGTTCTTGATGTAGCCCTTAGTATATTGATATTAAATGCTTCCTTGCATTTACTTTCTCTCTAGTAGCATTTTTGCAAGCCTTGGCAACATTCTTAGTAGCCAGCTGGTCTCTCCACAAAAGAAGGGCATGGTTTCTCCAGGCCCGGCCTCCTACTGTTATTCTCTACTTGTCATTTATGGACAGGGTGGAGAAGAGCAGACCTCCTCCATCTTTACCATCTGACCTCAAGATTGGGTTAGGGGTGCAGATGAAGGTAGGGATAACTGGAGCTAAGTCCTTTAATTTAAAGGAACTGAACTCTTCCAGACATACACAGATCAATTATTTTACAATTCAAGCATACAAATGTGAAACCACATTGTGACTAAACTAGGACGGGCAGAATGGTGGCCAACAAGGGGTTACTACACAAATCTCAGACCCCTTCCTCACTTAGTGTTTCCAACTCTACTCCCAAACGTAGAATTCAAATTTAGCATTCATTTGTTGGGTCCCGGGGGGAAGAAATTCAAACCAAAGTTGCTTCACACTCAGGCCAGAGAGAATCACAGAACCGTGGAATGACGAAGCTGGTAGAACTAGCTCAGTTCCAGAGGAAGTGACCCAGAAAGGCTATCCGACATGTGACAGGGCCACAGAGCTGACCCTTTCATTCAGTATTGTCAGAATTTCTCAAATACTGTACTCAATCATCTGCATCTTGCATGCTTGAAACTATTTTGAGAGAGGCTGTATTTGTACCTGACACTCTGGACTTGGCAATACTTTCCTGTATCGGATACAGAGACAGAATTTGGAGACGGTCACTAAAACGGAGTATCATAGACCCCCACCCTCCTATCGAATGAGGAAGAATATCTCCGGAGAGGTTTTTAGTTGTCTCCTGTTTTTGTCTACATGTGTGAGTTCACATGCTGGCAACGCTTATGATTCACTCAACTGAAGAAATAGGATTATTTACTCTTTACCCCTCCCCCCTCCAAAAAAAAATGAACAATCACTGTATTTCATGACTTTAGACACCACTCAAACTGTTTCCCCATCTACTTCCAAGAGTTCTAGGAAAGGAGTCGGGGAAGGCTCCTTCGACACTAGCCCATGAGGACAGCATGATAAGAGACTATGGAAAGCCAGTCTATCTAGCCCAAGTAGGACTGAATGAGGGATGCATTGGAATGTGGAAGGTAGAACACTGTCCAGCCTGAGATTCAAGATCATCTAGACAAAATTCTCATGTTGCTTTCAGCCGGTTAAGAATCATTAGCATCTCTTCTGCTTTTTGCACACCACCACAGGGGGAAAAAACACTGTTGGGGGGTCAACCTCTTTGTCTCCTTTCCTTAACTGTCCCCTTTGTGGCCCCCCTCCCCATTTACCTGAGAACACAGAAGACATAAAGAAACAGGTATGGGCCATGCCTCTGGCACTGGACTCATTCAGCATTGACTGCCCTCAGAGTAGTTCTGGAGTTTAAGCTTAATCATTAGCAGCGGACTGGAAAGGAGAAAGGTGCATGAAACTCTATCAGGTACAGTGTTTTGAAGTTGAATGTGACTTTGAGCACAGCCAAATTAGTATACTTGATTTGTTTCCTGTACTTCTGTGACTCAAGTTACAGGCTTTTCTTTCTTTCTTTTCTTACTTACACCTTTGTTTTGTTTTTCTGGTTCTAGAAACACTGACAATAAAAAGATGAGAAGGGTGATTTTAACGTTACCTTGCCAGTACACTATTGTGGGGCTTCTCTAGGGTGAAAGAAGGTCTAGTATAATCTCCTTCTTAACATCTAAAATCAGCAAGGTTTGACCTTGTCTTTGCTTTGAAAGCCACGTACTCAGTCTCTAACCAGCTTCTTTTGCTCAGGAAAACTCCCTCAATTTCAGGAGCATTTCCATGAGTTGCACATAGTAAATGTTTTTTTTTTTTAAATGTGTTGTGCTCAAATGAATTAAATTTTATATGAAGAATAGCAGCTCTGATGTTAATGATAGTCCCCAAGTGTGATAAGAAAGTTGTAGTTTGCAAAGAAAAGATAAGACAGGCAAAGTATCGACCTCTAAAATCTCCAGTCTGCCTCAGCATCTCACCTTTACCCAATGAACTAATTTATTTTTCTTGTGCAAAACCCACTCAACAATCTAAGGGAGGAAGTTTTCCCTAAACAAATGATAAATGGGGATGAAATATAGGATAAACCTTTAGCTTTAAAAAAAAAATCAATAGCCCTGTGAGGACTTGCATTTTTATAAGATGTTTTAGTCTTTGGAACTCCATGAGAGCAAGAACTGTAAGCTCAATAAATGGCTGTTATTAGACAGATGGGAACAACAGCCAATATCAATAATGGTCTTCAGTGAACTGAGAAATATCCACATAGCTATTTTCATGGATTGATCAATATTTTAAATGTTATTGTTGGTGGCCATAAGGATGGAATCTTATAGGTCTTATATAACTATCAAAAATGGTTTATTGACTACTAATCAGTAAGAGTCAGCCAGAGAGGTGTATTAAGAGTGAGAATGAGAGAATCAAGAGGTCAAAGAGAGAGGCATGGCCCTTCACCAGTCAGAGAACACATTCCCAGACAAGGTGCTATGGTTAAAACTTTGAGAGGTGAAGTCTTCATGCAAATACTATGGAGATATGAAGGAATCTTTGTCCTTACAGACTTCTGGAAATGAGAGAACATCATTTCATAGTATAATAAAAATATGAGTATTACAATGGCATGTTTATTGAGTCCTTGCTAAGTGCCAGGCATAGAGCTCAGCACTTTCCTGATACTGTCTCATTTAATTTTCAATGCAACTCTATGGCATGCATACTGTTTTGTCCCCATATTAAAAATAGGGAAGTTGAGGCTTAGTGAGCTTAATATATGGCCCAAAGTCAAAGAGCTAGTAAAAAAAAAACAGATCATGCACTCAAACCCAGGTCTGTTGGACTGCAGTGTCCATGTTCTTAAATCCTATGGGTACCAAGACTCACCCTGATGAGACTGGTCTCTGGTGGACACATCAGGAATGGACCTATCACAACAGGGCAATAATAAACGTACGGTCAGTAAAATGGCTTGATTCCACATCTCCTATCTTTGAACCATGTCTTTCCTTCCTTTTTCTCCCTTAGTCAGGTGAAATCTGTAGGAATGGAGCCTAAAAAGCCCCATTAGATAGGTCAGATTTGGGGGAAAAATCAATTAATTAAAACACTAGTTGAGAGCGGAGGAATGGATGAAATAGGGGAAGGGGATTAAACTTCTGTTTATAAAATAAGACATGGGGATGAAAAGTACGGCATCGGGAATATAGTCAACAATACTGTAATAACCTTGTATGGTGACAGATGGTGACTGTGCTTACTGTGGTGAGCACAGCGGAATGTATAGAGTTGTGGAATCATTATGTTGTACACCTGAAACTAATATAACCTTTGTGTGTCAACTACACTTCAATAAATAAACTTTAAAGAAGCATTTGTTAAGCCCCTCCTATGTCCTAGGCATCCTCTTTTCTCAAGAAGTTCACATCTGGGGCGCCTGGGTGGCTCAGTCGTTAAGCATCTGCCTTTGGCTCAGGTCATGATCCCAGGGTCCTGGGATCGAGCCCCACATTGGGCTCGGTGCTCTGCAGGAAGCCTGCTTTTCCCTCTCTCACTCCCACTGCTTGTGTTCCCTCTCTCACTGTGTCTCTCTCTGTCAAATAAATAAAATAAAATCTTAAAAAAAAAAAAAAAAGAAGTTCACATCTGATAAGAGAATACAAAAACTTAAACCCCAATTAGAATTCTGAGAGATGGATATTGTGTCGGTGCTCAGTAGAGTAAATTTGGGCGCAAACAGAATGGACACAGGATTTTAGTGTTTTTGTGCTTAGAAAAGGAGATCTCAAATTCTTCTCATCCATTTTAGTTTCACTTATGTTTCAGGGTTACAACTTATTCAAACTAATAGAGAAATGTGGGGAAAGGGGAGTTTTATGCAATCTTAATTTTTAGAATGTTAAATACCAGCACACATTCTTTTCCAAATACTTTCAAGGGCATTTTCCTCGAATCAGGTAAATGAGAGCAAGCAAGTGACCTACTTACAGCAATAAATGCTCCAGGTTATAAAGCATGGGAAGCCAAGTGCATCCTGGAAACCACAGCATCTGGTCTTGTTTTATGCTTCATCTATCAATCTGCTGTTACAGAAATTGAGAATTAATGTTTCAACTGTTTCTTCCACGTTCGCTGATGAATTCACATCTTTGTCATTCTCACCCAATCCCTCGCATCCCCTCTCCCACTGAAGAAAAGGATATGGAAGGGTATTTATGAAGGTCCTAAATGAATCCTAGGGAGATTGCTCTTTCATCTATGCTTTAAAACTTTTGCTAATGAGTCTATAGTGGGCTTAGCCTTCTTCCCAAGCAATGCCGTTTTGATCCATCCTGACTTTCCACAGACAGTATCATTTGAGCAGTACATTTTCAGTACCATATAAAAGCGAAACAATAAAACACGGCGGGTTTAAAATAAATATCCAAGTTCTAGATGATGTTTATTGCTAGCATAAACTGTAAAAAAGTCCAACTGGCAGTAGTGCTTAAGAAAAAGGATTATGTAGCGATGGAAGATTGTGGTTTAGTGCAACCCTGATAACATTAGAGAAGTACATATACACACGTTTTAAATTATGTGTAAAATTTTAAAATGTAAAAAGCATGAAAAGTAAATTTACAACATATTCTTTCAACTTTGAAAGAGCTGAACAACTTTGCTATTGTATCTGTTAGCTCTCTGTGCTTTTTATAGAATGGAGCTATCAATTCATCTTTCCACTCCTTCGATTCTGTTGAAATTCTAATTTTCCATTACTTTTGCCTTGTTGCCATCTTATTCTTTCTATTGGAGCTTCAAGCAATTTAATCTCGGTCTTTCTCGGTGCTTTTCTGGTTTCAGGTATAGCTTCATATTCTTGCTTTACTGTTCTTTCTCCAACCATCCTATTTAACTTGTCAAAAGAAACTTTTAAAAGAACCAAGGCTACCAAGTGATTATTATATTGGCATAATTACCGCTATGTAATTCTATATATTTGTTGAAGTTCTGCTCTTTCTAAATCACTGTCAAGAGAATCATTTCTAATGAGCAACAAATAGGGTCAGGTGTAGTGTGTCTGCTTATCCAAAAATTTCAGGTCTGTTTTTCCTTTCAAAGAGATTTTATTCTGAATCTCAACGTGAGACTTCCTTGCCTTGATTTTTTGCTATACACCATCTGACTTAATGGTTCAGCTGACCAGACAGGCTTTTGGAGCTGGAACATAGAGGTTTTTGTAAAAATACATCTAAAATCATCACTGACTAGAGCAGTTTTTTCAAGTATCCAAAACTATCTCAGATGCTTATTCAAAATTCAAATCCCCAAAACCTAGAGCAGTTAAATGGGAGCTTCTAAGTCTATAACGTAGGAATCTGCATTTTGCCAAGTTGTCCAAGTGAACAGACCCAGAATGAAATCTGAGAACCCCTAATCTAAGGAATCCCTTCCCCTTCAGGGTCTAGTGCAAAGATTCACTTTGGCTGTGGAGCAAATTAATCACACTCCCATCCAACTAACAAACGTAAAGGATAATTCAGTTCTAAGTGGGAAGAACTGCCATAAACTGTTCTGGGAGGCATTGGTAAAAAACAAAACAAAACAAAACAAAAACAAAAACAAAAAACCCAAAACCCAACTTTCTATAATAAACGTCATAATTATTTTTAATATCTTGATTCTAACAATCACAAGGGGAAGGCCCAGAAAGTCTACAAAAAAATCTGTTGTCATAATTTCCTGATTAATGTTATACATAATGAATTATTTATTGAGCCCCTACTGTGGGCCAAATATGGTGTTTTGTGCTGCCAGGAATTATATAAAGCTATCCTAGGATGAAAAGCATATGTTCACTCAGCTCTATTCTGGAAGAACTTAGCTGATTTAGTGATAGCTGGAAATGAACATGCATGATATGTGAGAAGACAGTAATTTGATGTCTTAGGACCCAGACATAAGAGGTTTCTTGAAAATTTGCTAAATGAAAATTAGGTCCAAAAGGTATAGGTGCAGATAGCAGGTACTTGGTTTATAGCCAAATCACTGAAAAAGAAATGAGTAGAGAATTTATTTGGGGGCACACAGACTCTTTATGGCCAGTCTTGACTACTTTACCAACAACTTCCTGTACGATCATAGTCCAGGTGAATTGAGACTAGATGCAATCATATCGGGAGTTCCACTTCATTCTAGAATCCATATAAGATGTCCCTAATAGAGGATCAACTCCTCATGGTTTGCCTAAGACTTTCCCTGATTTAGCATCCAAAGTCCTATGTTCCAAAAACCCACTTAGTGTCAGACAAACTGGGTAGATTGGCCACCCTGGTCCTCAGCATAGCAGCGGAGGTCTTTGGTACATTTTCACTCAGTGAATGATGGAAGTCCATTACCATCTTGAATTTCTCAGCTCATTTTCCTTACTGGTGAGCCGATCTTAGTGGGCCACCTTAAGTTCTTTCCTTCAGCAATCTCTATCTTTTAGCTCTGTCAATGTATGCTCCCAGGAGCATCCCAAGCAATGACTCAGACTGAGGATAATCCCAGGGAACCAAAGGAGAGTCTCTTCCAAGACTACTTTTTTGGTTTGCTTTGGTTTGGTAAACACTGTCCTGGTCTTATAATCATCCTGTTCTTCCCAAAGTTCTATATCCTCTCTAAATAACGAGTCTAGTTCTCTTAAACCTAGCTTCATATCATTCAGTATTAAATTCCATTCTGATTCTTGTTAATGAACCCAATCATAGTTTTTAAAATATTACACATCCCTGCCATCCCATCCTCACCTTTTAAAGACTTACAACTTCGTCATTTCATGGTCTTCTTTCAACTAGACTTAAATAGAACTGGTATTAAATTACTATCTCAAAGAGAAAGTGTAAAGGGTAGGGTCTGAATTAAATTTGGTTCCAGTGAAATTTGCCTATTAGGTACATGAACTTAGGAAAGTTTTTCTCCCTAGGCCTCAAAATTTGCTCGTCAATAAAAACAGAAAATTAAGAGGATGGGTTTTTTTGGAGGAATTTGGATTATGGATGTGAAGCACATAGTAGCAGATCACGGGACACCTAGTAGGCATTCATAGCATACACTAACTCCTACAATCAGGCTGCAGAATTTTAGACATCAAAGATGATGTCTAAAGCAGAAAGGCACAAACTGCCCTCCGGAGGAGGGTAGTCTTGCTGCCTCTACCTGAAGAAAGCGATGCTTCTTCTATCTGGAAACAGTGGCGAATATCATCTCACCCCCTGGCAGTCTGTGTGTTCAGGTGGCGCTGGCTTTCAGGTTTGCTCCCTTGGGACCTCTTGTGTCACGTCTCTCGTTCTGGAAAGGGGAAGGTGGAGAAGAAAAAGGGAAGTACCTGAAATGCAAATCCTGCAACCAGATAACCTATTCTGTCCCGACTGCCGGTCCTGCTTGGGTGGGCTGCAAAGTCGTTTCACATGGCTTTCAGGCGCCACCCCCAGGTGTTTGTTAGCGCAGAGACGGGGGAGGAGGGTGAGCTCACCGTGGAAACTGAAAGGCAGATGGTGAGGGGTGGGGGTGGCCATGCGCGTCAGCGCTTTGGCTAAAGAACAGACAGAACAGGAGCCTGCCGGTGTGCACGCGGGGTGAGGGGCGAGGGGCGGGCGGAAGACTGAAGGAGAAGTCGGGGAGAACTCTGCGGGGATGCACAGCATTTCTTCGCACTCTGGAAAAGGCTCCCCGATTTGTCAGGGTCGCGCCCGGAGCCCGCGAGCTCGGCAGGGACCTGCTGTGATTAGCGCCTTCCCCTATCCCATCTCAGTAGCTAAACTCCGAACCTCGGTGAGTGCTCTAAGCCGCCGCACCTGCTGCACGGAAAACGTCAGCCCCTCCCGCCGCGTCACCCACCCCCCACGCCTTGTCTGAAACCCGGAAGTGCGCCCTCTCCTCGCCGACAGCCGAGGGCGGCGCATGCTCCGTGCGAGGGGGCGGGGTACCGTCCCCGCCGGAAGCATTCTCTCCCAGGCGGCGTTTCCTTCCTGTGTGAGGCTGGCTGAGGGCTCCTGCTGCCTCAGTGTCCACCCCGGGGTGAGTAGCGGGGTCTTCCGGGGCCTCGAGGGACGAGCGCGGGATCCCGCTGAGCTCCCTTGGGGACCGGCTGGGATCTGGGAGGCCGCGCGAGGAGGATCACCGCGCCTTCCTCCCACGCCCCTCCTCCGTGCCGCCCCCCGGCTTTCCGCAGCCCTTGGTATCCTGCGGATTAATCTCCAAGGGCGTCCCGGGCCTCGCCTTGGCTTCCGGCCCGGCCTAGGCCCTTGGGTCTCCGTTAGCGCTGCCCCCCCCCACATGTATGCCACTTGCGAGGGACTCTCGGTAGACAGCCGGGTCGCCGCGGGGCCTGGGGGCGTCCCGGGCGACCTCGGCACTGGCGGTCCTAGGCGGAGGCGGCCGGATGGAGCCGGGTGTGACTGTCGCACGGGCACTGCCACTACCGAGTGCAAAGGCGGGGGGGGTTCTTCAGGCCCGGGCACGCTCTCGCAGAGGATGGTGCTGTTAATAATAACCTGTCCTTTATGGGAGGGTTGGCAGTCATTGTCACAGGCTGTGTTCCTAGGGCCTTGTTGCCCTCCAGACTGGGACTTCGGGGTTGAGAAAAACTTTTCTACAACCCTGCAATGAATTAGGACAGAAACACCATACTCTCGGTCCCTAACCTCTCAGTAGATTGCTCACTGTCGAGGTGGTACGATTTCTAAAGTTTTCTATCCTGAAACCGAGAACTCTTTAAATGAAACTGGTGTCGTGTTTGCCTAACAGATAACTGTGCATTGCAGGGTTTTGCCATATTTCTTAGTTGTACATAATAGCGTCTGTATACTTGCGTATTTTGTTGATTTTTAATATTTATTTATACAAGATTGAAAAACATTCCGTACTGTTGTGTGCACACGCAGCTTTTGTTGTGTATTCTGCTGCAGTGCTACTGTAACGGCCTTATATTGCAGGTGGATCCGTGTCGTATGAACGATAGATGAGTGGACAATAAAGTATATACGGTTACAAACTACAAGTAGGAGTTTCGGTTTCATTTCAGGATTTTAAAGTCATTGTGGAAGATGCACTACTGGTTTAAACATGGCCGTAGGTCTAGAGTACTGCAGGTACTAATTTAAATATAGGAAAACGTATAGTTAACAGGTTTTATGTCTTGAAATTTTTTATAGGATTAAAAATTGTCATTGTCTCGGCGACTGGGATGTACTGAAACTTGCCCTAGTTGTTCATGTAGTTCCGGGAACATCCAGTAGGTGGCGGTTCTCTCGCTACTAACTCAAACTTTGAAAATAAAATGTTTTATTTAAATATCACTAGTTTTCACAGATTAAGTTAATAAAACCTTGATTTTTGCCTGTTGGTTTATTTACATCAATGAATAATATCCCTGCGTCATAATATCACATCTTCCAGCTGAACTTTCAAATTTACTCTGTTAAAATGAAGGCTAGGGAAGTCACTTTTTTAGTGGAGTATTGTTAACTCATCTTTAGGAATCCATGCGGATGGATAAAAGCACACTTGAATTTGTTGCATGAGTAGAGATTTTAATTAGGTGGCTTTTCCTCCTTAGCTCCATTTATAGAGATATAATTAATAACTGAACTGTATTCCTTGAGGACAGTAATTGTATCTTGGCCGTTATTGTATGCCCAGTATATAGTAGGCATTATATATACATGTTCAATAGGTGCTTTATGGTGTGAATTAAATCACTTAATGTCCCTAGGTCAAAGGTTCTTCATCTGAAATGAAGGCTTTCAATTATTTTGTTGTTAAGTTAAATAACGTACTATTGTGAAGTAAATGGCTCCTCGTAATGGAGAAACGTGGAACCCTTGACTTTTTTTGGGAAATCGTTCAAAATCTGGAAGCAGTTTTGTTGGAATGATTGAGTGGGAAGTGTTTCTGCAGTTGCAGTTTATCTGTTGAACAGATAATTACTGAATAGTGTCTCTTGTATGTGACAGAAAGATGAAGAAGGTAAAGTTGGTTTTTGAAGTTTGGATAGAAATTGACTAATCCTAGATAAAGGGAGAGAAATGACCTGTCCCAGGGTACCAGACAAGTATGGTGGAGGGAAAATACACATGGCATTTTCAGATACCAGTGACTCCAGCTATTGAAAGTTCTTACTGAGAAGTAGTGAGAAAATGCTTAAATGTTACTCTTTAAGGCTAGGTTAGGATGGTCTGGAACACTTGGAAATCCTGTAAGTAAAAGGAAAGCTTTGAAGTCTTTTTATCAGGGAGAAGTATATACTCTTGAATGGAAGGGGGGAGGTATCTAAGAAGAATTTAAAAATCGTTGGAGCTATTCCAGAGGGAGGGAAGTGAAGAAGATCTTTAATTGAGTAGTAGTAGTGACAAGGGAAACTAATTTTAGTGGAGGACCATAGATACGAATCTATGCAGTTCCTAATTTTTACCGGTTGCTGAGCCATCTGTGCAAATTCTGATTTATTCCTGTTCACATGAGTGCAGAATATAATCTCTCTCTCTTTTTCACATAGCATAGCATTCAGCATAGTCCTATGCCATGAGAGGAAAATGGCATTATTAGAATCTGAGATCCTGTCTTCCAAAATGTGACAGTCCCATCGTCCCTAACAACCTTATTGTTCTGGGTAGTTATTGCCTTATTGACAGGGCTGTGCATGCCTTCTGCAAGCCTGTATGTGATTGAGGTAGCTGTTCAGAGATGTAGGTAAAAGTAGGCACGCTGTCTCCTTTTTTCCTCTCCGTCTCAGGTGACTACTATACTGTGGTTCAAAAATGTGTGAAGATTCTAGTGCTTCATATTTAGCTGGGTGGTTGGAAACAGTAGGATGGCATTTAATGTCTCTTATTAATAGAGAAAATGGCATGTTTAAATTTAAGCAGGCCTTGAAAACCTGAAAAGTAAGCCTGAGGAAAAAGTGAGTCTGTTCAGTTTCAGTTTCACTCAAAAATTGCCTGTTGTACATTGTACTGAGAAGAAATTCTTACCATCACATTAGTAAAGTATTTCATTGTATCTCTAGATTTTCTGAAATAGTTATTTAAAAGCTGTTTAAAAGAGTAAATACCGTAAGATGTTGACCGTATTATTGCAGAATTATCGTCTGCTTAAATTATATGAGCTTTAAGGAAAATTCATTTAAAAAGTCTAATAAACCTCAGTTTTTAGTATGTTCATTTTTCCTTAAAATAAAATACTTTAAGGCAGGTAATGTTGAATTTGACTAGAAGTTAGTTTTTCTTGCTAAGTTTAAGCTACTTATCAGTCTCCCAATTGTAATGAATCTAGTTATTACTTAGTGACATTTCTGTTTGTCTTTTAAGGTTAATCAAGATGGTACATGCTGAAGCTTTTTCTCGTCCCTTGAGTCGGAATGAAGTTGTTGGTTTAATTTTCCGTTTGACGATATTTGGTGCAGTAACATACTTTACAATCAAATGGATGGTAGATGCAATTGATCCAACCAGAAAGCAAAAAGTAGAAGCTCAGAAACAGGTATGACTGAAATGTTTGAGGATCATTTTTTCTTGTAGCTAGCTAGTATTTTTCCATTAAACTAAGGATATAGAATTATAAATTAATTAGAAGTTCTCTAAGACCCATGTGAAAATGTGTTTGAATGTCCTATTTAATTTCATTATTCCTAAAAAAGTATTCGTTTTTCAAATCCTTTCTAACTGTATAACTTCTCAGGATAAAAGGGGTGAAAAATAAAGATATTCCAGTATTTTGTTGTGAACATCTTCATTAGAATATTTTTGTCAGCTAATGAATGAAGGAATCTAGGTAAAAGATTTCAACAGACTAAACAAAAACAACTTATCTTGAGTAATGGTATGCATTTTGCTTTGTAGACATTTGAAATGTGGGTAATACTGATCAGCTGTCAGTCTTACACTTGGAAACTCACTAATTTCTAATTAAGAAATTGCTAAATATTACTATTTTTTAATATAAGTAGTAGGTTTGTTTGTTTATTTTCAGTAACTTCCTCTTGTGGTCATTTTCTTATGAGGATGACATATCTGTTTTAGTTTCTATTCTTGCTCAAAAAAGTAAAAGCCTTACAGGAGCCTTTCACGTTTTTCTTGCTGTTTGAGGGCAAGATGTTTATATTCATTGATTTTTAGATTCCTTCTGAGTGTTGTGACTGTGATGCATTCAGTAAACATTTACTGAGCTCCTAGTAAATTCTTGGTGGCAAGGATAAAAGATAAATAAATCTTGTTCTTTCAAAATGCTATAGGCTAGTGTGGCAGACCAGGGTGTACATAAGTGAGTGCTTTACAGTACTATGCATAGCTCTTAAATCAGTGAAAATCACCGTTTTGTGACTACTGCTTACTATTTGTATCCGAAAAGCAATTTGAACAGTTGTGAGTTTGTTCCCTGAATTTGATTATACAATAGTTGATTCAGGGTCTAGATTATATCATAATATCACTCAATTTATAACTCTCTAAGAAGTCTGACCAGTGCAGTGTGTGTGTGTGTGTGTGTGTGTGTGTGTGTGTGTGTGCGCGCGCATGTGTTAATTAAGTATATCCATGTGTCAGCTGAAGTGCAGCTTTTCCTGCCACCTACATGATGCAAGTCAGTTTGAGTCTGAGGCCAAAGTATTGGTAAGTCATACCATTTTCAAAAGTTTTAAGGGCTGCCTGGGTGGCTCAGTCATTAAGCGTCTGCCTTCAGCTCAGGTCATGATCCCAGGGTCCTGGGATCAGCCCCGTATCGGGCTCCCTGCTCGGCGGGAAGCCTGCTTCTCCCTCTCCCACTCCCCCTGCTTGTGTTCCTTCTCTCACTGTGTCTCTCTCTGTCAAATAAATAAATAAAATCTTAAAAAAAAAAGTCTTAAAAGCAGAGATGTGACTATTAAAACAGAGAATTTTGTTGTTTATTTCCGTGGCTTCTAAGAGCTCCTGGAACACCCATATGGAAGACGTAGAAAGCCAAACACAGGTATTAAATAACACATGAATGGATTGTTACCTTTAAGCCTTTATTGAGAATGTATGCATAGTATTGTAAATATCATTTACATGATGTATTAGATTCTGCATCTGTCCTCATAGTGCCCGTGGTAGGGTAAAAAGACTTGTCCATGATAATATAAATTATAATAGTAGCATATTCTAATTGCCTAATGAGTAGACAAAAACTATGGCATTTAGAGAAAGGAGCAGTCACTAATGATTGAGGTAGTTGAGGATGGCTTCATGAAAGAGTTTGGCCACTAGAATAGGCAAGGACAATTTGAAGTAGATCATGAACAGAATCTTGACGATTGTAGGAATAGCAAGACCTGTTGCAGGAATAGTAAAAAGACTAGTCAGATTGGAATAGAGGGTTTATGCAACTAACTAGTAGAATTTGGAGGGAGAGGTAAGGGATTAAAGTGTGAAGTCGGGGAAAAGACTTCTACTTTTCCTTACTCTGTTCTTTTTGAACAGAGGCTGATAAAAAAAAAAAAAAAAAGCCACAGCATTTTATAAGTCATCATCAACCAAGAAGGAGGCATGCTGTTTGCTTGGTCAGCGGCTGTAGCTTCTCCGATAGCCTTCCTCTCTTCCTTCCTTACCTCCCTGGCCAGCTACTGAAATACCCTATTGACCAGTTGAAGTCTTCTGTATAGGCAGTGATAAACTACTAAACTATCAAACTGCCTATTAAAGATTTTTGAGTATGTGGGTGATATGCAAAGGAATGTTTTAAGGATAATTAACTTCACAGTAGTATGTAGCAGGAACTCGGGTTAGGGAGACTAGAAGCAAGATCTGTTGCATAGACTTAACCAGATTGCAGTAGGCCTGGCAAAGATTTAGAATAAGGGGGTGACAAAAGGAATGGAATGGGTGAAATAGACTAATAAGAATGAATGCTGGAAGGACTTTGTGATGATACGGGAAAAGAAAAAGGACATCTTACAAATGAATCCAAGATTTGTTTGGAGTCCTCGAAGACTCATAGTATTTCATTGAGGTTTAGAAACTGATAGATGGGCAAGTTTATGGGAAGATGATATTTGATTTGGGCATATTGAGTTTGTGTTGGTGGTAGGCATCCAGAGGAATATGTTCATCCAGCAGTTAATGGTAGGTCTCAGTCTCAGAGAAAAGGTCAGTCCTTAGAGGTTCCTCATCAGATGCTCAGAAGTAGTTGGGCTTATTAGAGAAGTGAGTCTCAACTGGGATGCCATAGGCCCCAGGGTTATTCTTGTGTAGGTATGTATCATTTGTGGGGTTTTCCCCACCTTCCTCCTACCACCATCGGGATTTATACATTCAAATATTTGTTGAGAGCTTTTCTTGTAATTGTGAATATAATAAATGCTGATGACTGTATTGGGAGTGATGAGGTCTCTAAAGGAGGTGCTATCAAACCCCATAAATAGTTGGCTAAAGGATAAGCCTTCATTTAGGGAATGGGAAGAGGAAGTGAAGCCAGTGGAGAATGAACAGGTTGGTTAGGGTAACTAGATATCTGGACTGACCTTCCTGCTAAAAGCAACTAAATGATCTAGATAAAATATATTTTTTAATCTTCTTAAAGGTATTCATGAGCTAGCAAGAAAGTAAGAAATTCAGGTAAAAAACTGGAGGCAAAGATTGAAAAAGATAACATGAGCTTGATGGCCAGCTTTCACATTGGGGGGAATTTGCTGAAGCTGCTGAATTTGAACTTCTGTTTTTATGGCCCAGAGGAGCTCAGGATACAAAGCACAGGACCATTCCAAGGTAGGATGTCTCATAGACAATACTCCCATAAATCTTTGACTCCAAAAGAGTATATCCTCTTTGGTAATTACCTAAAGATAAAGATATAAGAGTGGTTTAAAAAGAGAAATTTAAGCCATACACTAGCTGAAGTGACACATATAAACTGTAGACACAGAAAGGTTGAAAATTAAAAGATGGAAAATGCCTCTACCATACAAAGAGAAAGCTGGTTGAACACAAACTTTAAGGCAAAAATACTATTAGGGAAAATAAGGTTCATTACAGAGTGATTAAAGATTCAATTCACCAAGAAATACAATATTTATTTGTGTACATCTATTAATATAGCTTCAAAATACATAAAGCAAAAAATTGATAAAACTGTAGGGAGAAATAACATATCCGTCATCATGGTGGGAGGTTTTTAACATTGCTTTCAGTTAGTGGTAGATGAAATATTAAAAAAAAACTTTTTTTTATTCCAGTATAGTTAACATACAGTGTTATATTAGCTTCAGGTGTAAAATATAGTGATACAACAATTCTCTACATTACTCAGTGCTCATCATGATAGGTGTACTCTTAATCCCATTCCCGTTTCACCGATTTCACCCCCCACCTACTCACCTCCACTCTGGTATCCATCTGTTTTTTCTCCATAGTTAAGTGTGTGTTTGGATTAGATTATTTGGGGGGGGTTGGTTAGTGTTGAGTTGTATAAATTCTTTATATAATTTGGATACTGATCTCTTATTGGATATGTCATTTGCAAATATCTTCTCTTATTCAGTGGATTGTCTTTTAGTTTTGTTGATTGCTTCCCTTTTTTGCTGTGCAGAAGCTTATTATTTTGATGTAGTCAGATGAAACTTTTTTTTTTTTAATGGGTAAAGATATCGCAGATTTACGAAAGTAACAGCATTATCTAGTGGCCACATATAGTATATTGTGCTTCAGAAAATGCAGGGGTATTTAAAAAGGACCCATGTAAGATTTGTGAAATTTAACCAAATGCTAAGTTGTAAAGCAGATGTCAAGTTTCATAGCACTGGTAGCATGTTTGTTACATTCCCTGGCTCCAGCGCAGAACAGGAAGATCGTTAAACATCCAATAAGTTTGGAAAGTAAGAACCATCTTTAAAGAACTCCTAGGTAAAAGAAAACATAGTAGAAATTAGAAAATATTTATGATGAGGGCACCTGGGTGGCTCAGTCGGTTAAGCATCTGCCTTCGGCTCAGGTCACGATCTCAGGGTCCTGGGATCGAGTCCCGCGTTGGGCTCCCCGCCCAACAGGGAGTCTGCTTCTCCCTTTGCCTCTCCCCCCACTTGTTCTCTCAATCTTGCTCTCATGCTCTCTCAAATAAATAAATAAAATCTTTAAAAATAAATAAAGAGCATGAAAGAAAGGTACAGTATTAACAAGAATATGAATTTGCTGTTCCTCTTGGCTCTGTATTCATCTTCATTTGTCTAGAGCTCACCTCGGGCTCCCTGCTCAACGGGTCTGCTTCTCCCTCTCCTTCTGCCCCTCCCCCTGCTCATGTGCACACACACGCGTGCGTTCTCTCTCTCTTTCAAGTAAAAACTTAAAGAAAATAGGATTGAATTAAACTTAATTATTAATGTTTAGAGAGAAATTTATAGTCTTAAGTGTTTGTTAGAAAAGAAAGTGATTAATAAAGTAAATCAAACTTAAGCTCAAGAAAAGATTTTAACATAAACCCATGGATAATGAAAGAAGGGAAATAATAGGAAGACAAATTAGTAAGAAATAGAA